CAAAGTGGGATGGAACATATGTATGGCATAATGGTTCCACTATGTCTACCACAAACCTTTGGTGTCCTCTATTCAAACCAGAAATAACAACCATATCGGGAGGGACCACTAGTGCAGACCTTTGCAAGGAAGGTAACACCCCTTTTGCAAACTGAGCCATGATGATATATCAGTCTGACTCATGGAACATGTATAATTATTGGTGGATATGTGGTAAATTTGCCTATAAAAGGCTTCCGCAAAATGCCTTAGGGTTTTGTTACCTCGGTCTCATGGCACCAGCTATAAGGATTGTTAACACTTTGCCACCAGGGCATATCAGGAACAGGTGGGACGGGTCTTGGGAGAAAGCATGGAACTGGATAGAACAAACTGCCCTTGCAGTAGCTGAAACTACCATTCCATGGGTAGGGCAGGCAAAAACAAATCATGATTTGAAAACAATGTCCCTGCTTATGGAGAAATTCATGAAATTCACTGTAACCTAATCCCCTTCCTCTCCCCCAGAGCCAGGCACTCCCAGCCCTCTCCCCTGTCCTGCTCTAACCCAATCTCCCTTCCCTCCCCTAAAGCCAGAGCCAGGCTCCCCATCCCCCACTCCACCGCTCTAACCTAATGCTGCTCACTTCTCCCTCCAGGTGCGAGGCACGTGCGCAGAGCGGCTTGCCGTGAGCAGTCTGGGCATGCGGCTCAGAAGCAGCAGGAGCTGCAATTCCTTAATCAAAGAGCCACGGGTTGGCCACCCTTGATTTAGTGCTTTGCCCGTGCACTTGTATGTGGGAGATGCCACCAACCCTCTGCAAATGTATGAGGACCTTATTAAATTTTACTACCCTAATCAGAACCTTATAGGCTTCAGGGGGTAGCCGAGTTAGTCTGTATGGAATAAACTTAAAAAACAACAAATGGTCTGGTAGCACTTTATAGACTAATAAAACATGTAAATGGTATCATGAGCTTTTGTGGGCACAGCCCACCTCTTCAGATGACCAGATAAATTCCAGTCATTTGAAGAAGTGGGTTGTGCCCATGAAAGCTCATGATACCAGCTACATGTTTTGTTAGACCATAAAGTGCTACCAGAATCTTATAGGCAAATATGATTCATGAGAAATCAGAGAGATATTTAGGAAGGAAGAGGCTGCGGTATTGTTTAGCAGGTGTTCTCTCATGTGATACAGCAGAGTTCCAGGAGGGATTGATACCAACCCTCTGTACAGCCCTTGGACATGTGGATTTTCAAAACACCTCACTACAGGAGTTAGAGGATCGTATTAGGGAAATCTATGAACTTCAGCGGGAAGGCTTCCCAGCTACAGGGCTAGGAAAAGGATGGCAGCTGTTACAAACAAGGGCAGCAGCAGAGGCAGAGAATCCCCTAAACCCTGGAAGCATCAGCAAAAGGGGAAAGGATCTTCTCCACAGCAAAGGACAAGAAAATCCCCTATCCAGCTTAGGAAGAGTAAAGCCTGGGAAGCTTAAATCACGAGGAGCACAAGACCTTCCGGAATGGAATTTAGAAAAGGCTGTTGCAGTATGAAACCAGGGAAGCTGTAGTCAGTGGTCTCCAACCTTTTTAACCACAAGATCGCTTTTTCAATTTAAGTGCAATGTAAGATCTACCTCAAACCCAAATACCCTCTTCCCCACTTCCTTCCTGCCCCTGTTTGAGGCCCTGCCCCATGCCACCCCTTCTCTGAGGCCTCACCCTGCTCACTCCATCTTCCTTCCTCCCCCATCCTAACTCACTTTTACCCGGCTGGGATTAGGAGTTGGGATGCAGGCTCCAGTTTTGGGCCAAGGCATTTGGAGTATGGGAAGGGTTCTAGATTTGGCCCACGGCAGGGGATTGGGGTTCAGGATGCAAGCTCTGGGAAGGAGTTTGGGTGCAGGGAGACTCACAGCTAGGGGAGGAGGTTCAGGGCTGGGACAGTGGTTCAGGAAGCAGGCTCTGCCAGGACACTGTTTAACTGAGATGGCTTCCGGGTGGTGGAGCAATGGAGTTAAGGCAGGCTTACTCCTGCGCTGGCCCTGGCCCTGGCCGTAAGCAGCTGGCATGTACAGCACTGGCTCCATGGTGCCATGTGCTGCCCCTCATCTACAGGCACTGAGCCCACAGCTCCTATTAGCCACAGTTCTCCATTACTGACCAATGGGAACTGCAGGAGCGGTGTCTGCAGGCAAGGATAGCATATGGAGACCCCCTGCCCTGCCCTGCCTCTCTCAGGGGCTGCAGGAACATGCCAGGAACTTCTAGGCACTACCCTGGTGTCCTTGTAACCCTCTTTTCACAAGGGTTAAGGGACTTGTCAGAATAGAGCTTTAATTTCAAAAGAAGCAGGTAAGGAGGGGCGGGAGGGATGTGTAGATGCACCTTGTGTGGGCTCTGTCTCCCCCCCTCCTCCATTTGCCCTTTTACACCATCAGGGCTACATGGGGGGGGAGGGGCTCTTTAAAAATCATCACACTTGTCCACAGGCAATTCCTAGTAATGGACTAAGCCAGTGGCTTCCGCAGTCAAAATAAAGGGTTGTAAGCGGCTATTACACAGGAGTGCTGAAGCCTGCGAGCCGGGCCTGAGCCCCCAGCACTGAAGGGCACCTGGGCTGCGAGCCTTCCCTTGCTCCGCACTAGCTCGCG